TTTATTCCCCCATCACAGATAACCCCCAATACACTGTTTTTTTTAATTTTACCCATTGAGATCACCTCCCCAGCTGCACACAGCCAGTGTTAGCATCTGTGGCTGGTGTAACCCCACTGCTCTTCATGCCCAGCAGTATTTATAGCAGCAGCTTTGCGTGGTAGTTTGCCTCTCTGTGACTTTATTTGCAGAGTCTTTAGTGCAGGATCTGTGTTTATTTGGGGTTTATGCTACATCTTGGTACCAAGCTGTACACTACCCTAAAGGTATTTCCTTCTTCAGGAGTCTATAAACTCTTCTTTCATTCCACTTTTCAAGGAAATATGTTTTTGGAGGTTTGGGGTTTTTTTATATTGCCACTTTGTTCAGGAAATGGCAATGAATTAAACCATTTTCCGTGGACATCTGTTGCTCTGGATGAGTTGCAGAAGGACCCCAAACACTCTTTTTGAGGTAGATTCTGTCACAACTACCATTTGGGATTTGTACCACGAGGTTCTTCAGCATTTACCTGATGGATAGTCCTGAAAACCCCAACAGTCCCAGTATTGTCTCCTCAGTGTGAGAGGTATTTCCCCATTTATCAGTGACAATTTTGTGTGCTTTTCTCCTTCAGGAATAGTTGATCAGCACGAGGAACTGAATGAGGGAGATCCACCATGCTCTGCTGAGCTTTAAGGCCCTAGGATTGTTTGCTCCTGAACTCAAATGGAACTGTATTCCTTCCTTGTGGTAGCACCACGTTGTATATTCCCTTTGAGCCCCAGGACCTCAGGAAAAAATGTTTTGACAGGTATTTTTCAGAGAAAAGCAGACTTTATTTAACTAACTGATTTATTTTCACCAACTGTCCTCTTCTGAAGAGTTGGTATTTGGTATCTAGTATCTTTCCTTCTGGGTTCTGGGTTCAGTAATTCAACCAACACTGCAGAAACCCACCTTCAATAATTTTTTAAGTCTTTTGGCATCTTTTGGTAGATTCCTGAGATTGCAAACCAGAAGTTCTCAGTAATGGGCTAACTATAAGTAGAATCAATTGTTCTTCTTATTTGGTCCTGGTTATGGCCAAAAAGAGGAAGCAAGGGAACTTTATGGAAGATTTTGAAAAGTCTTTGAAGAAGATTTCCATTTTTCATATTAATTTGCATGTACTTTAGAGTTACAGTTTATCAGGTCCTCATATTTTTACCTGGAAAAAAATCTTAACATTTCTGGATGGACTGTCTCCAAAGGTTAAATGTTGAATTCCAGGTTCTTACCCAGTTGAAGGTCAGTTCACAAAGGAGGGGTTTTCTTTCTAGGGAGAGTTTTATTCTACCTGGAATGGACTGAGGTCATTAAGTTCTTTATCTAGGTCCTGGCTTCTTGAGGAAATTCATGGTAAGCAAAAGCAGTAGTTCAGAGGAATAAGGGCTGGTAATGATGTAATGATTTCACTGTTTGAGATGGAATTGATTCCTAGTGCAATTCCAGTATTGCATTCTTCCCATCTGATCTATGAAAGTGCACAGGTAAAATGTGCTATTGCATTATTTCCAGGGCTATGTGATAAAATGCTTTCCCTACCAAGGTGATTCTCTAGTCCTAGAAATGCTTTCAGCAGTTAAAAGAATCATTTCATTGCCTTTTCAAACTGTTAACTAATCTTCCCCAAGAGCTGACTGGAAAAATCCACCTTAATTCCAAGAGTGCAATTAGGCCATAAAGATCTTTGTGAGTGTAGTTCAAGACAATGGTTATGAAGTTTGCCAGGATAGCTCAGATTTAATTGATCCTAAATGCCTTGGTGAAAGCCTGTATCCTATTTCAGGCACCCCCATAAAACATGGTGGCAGATTGCACATCACACCAATGCAGGATGGATTAAATTGATAGATCATTCTAACATGCATCACTTGGCCATCCCACCACTTCCTTCCTGAAGTGAAAGGAAAAGCCCAGAAATGTGTGTCAGCCACAGCTCCTTTTCCTTTCAGCCTTTCCCACGGGCACGTGTGGAATTGGTTTTGCATGCGGATCAGCAGCTGCATCACAGCATAGGTAGCAAAAATTTTTATTGTGCCTCAACTCTTGGCACTCCCACAGTGTCAAATGGGTTTTTCATTTTCTGTGTGCTGCCACCAGTGAGCATAAAGGCAGAGCTGTCTCCTGGATCCCAGTCTAATTCCAGCTGTGCTGTGCAATCTCCTGCACAGGGGATGCAGGAGGGAAGGGAAGGAGGGCCACAGAGACATTTGGGTGGGTAATAAACCTTGAAGAATGCAGTTCCTGTACAGGTAAGTGATAAATTTTTCTTTCTGAGTAGTCATCTGTAGAAGATTCCTGAAAAGAGGCTGTCACTGTTCATAATTCTGACATAAAATACAGGAAGATTTGCCATTGGTGCGATGCTCAGAGGTGTGATTGCTACAGAGGAACAATCACTGTAGGAAAAATGTTATAACTGTATTTCAAAATGATAGAAGATCTTTTTCCACAGTTGAATTCTTATCACAATAAAGGTAGAATACCTCTTGTAATGAAATGGAGGAAAGAAGCAGCAGCACAGGTCAGCATGAGCCTGTCATGTTTTAGAGTTCAGAGCTGAAGAGTTGGAAAAACATGCTGGTGTGTCAAAGGGCTCACTTCAGTTTTATCTACTAATATGAGACAGCAGCTTATCTTTTAAAAAGTCACTGACATACCAGTCAGTTAGTCACAAATCAATGGGCTAGAAACAAAATAGCTCTTTAAGAGTCTTTTCAGGCTATGCTGCACTAATGGAGGTGGAAAAACTTGTACTCAGTCTTTCCTTACTGGGTGGGTTATTGGTATTAAAATTCACCATTTCTAGGCAGTTCATTCCAAGTCAGCCTGGATTTTTAACTTGTAACCATCTATCAGATAGGTAAAAGTTTATGTATTATTTTAGGAAAAGTAATTATGTGTGAATATAGATTTTTCAAATGCAGGTAACTGTATTTTTGGTATCACCAGTTGTTCTTCCTCCTGTCCCTCAAGAGTTCACCTGACCAGAGCACTGTATGGTGTCATGGTTAATACAGTGTTGAATTCACCTCTGAAATGTTTGCCTGGAATGAAGAGTGGATGAGTTAGAATGTTTTATTCTGCATTCTTATTTTAAAGGAGTTTCCATTTGAAATGCCACTGTTCAAATGTACAGTTCCCATTCCTGTTAATTGACATTCACTTGGCTATCCATGAATGATACATCAGGGAGTAAAGTTCATAATTACTCTGTCATGCAGATAGGCAAATAAATATTTCCTATATCTGAAGTGGTCAGTATTCCTTGCAGAGCTTTTTGTAACCTTGTTATTAATTTTTTTGATGAGACTTCATTTATGCTTATCATAACCATAAAGTAGTTTTGGAAGATGCTATCAGTGTTCCTGAAAGACTCTGGAAGTACAAAAACATGTTAAGCAGCTCCTATTTTTGAAATGCAGATCTCTCCATTTGTTTCTTTAGAAAACATCAATTTCTTGCCCTGTGGATGCACCTTGGAATGTGCCCATCAGCAGAAAGCTGCTCTGCTTGCAGAGCCTGACAGCTCCTGCTGCTGTGCTGGTGGCTGAGCAGCAGCCTTGCTCTTTTAGCAGGGCAGTGGTGCCTGACAGGAACCTTTGCATCTCTGCTTGAACACTCTCCTTGAAAGGGGCAGTTTTGAGACTGTCAGAAATGGTTTTCCTGCAGCTTTCTTTGGGGGTATGGGGCTAGAAAGCAGGAATCAAGGAATAAAATTTGTTTGTTACATTCCAATGACTGACTTTTTTCATCATGAAGGTTGCAGAGACAATTTTTTTCCGAGTCAGTCCTCTTTTTTCTTATTCTTTATATGGTTCAAAACTCTTCTGGTGTAAGTGGAAAATTAAATCCTAAATCCAAAAGGACAGAAGCCAAAAGGGGTACATCTGACAAAGAGCGAGATGCCAACAAATAAAAGCATTTTTGATTCTTCCACTGCTGCTGGGATGGCTAAAAAGCCACGTATTAACTTCAGTATGCATTAGTATCTCACCAGAACCCTGTGATCCAAACCAATCTGCAAGACAAGAAATGCAGAAATCTTGGGTCAAGCTGCTCCCTTGCAGAGGATTTGTCATCAGCCATGGTCCAGGGCATTCATGGTGCAGGGCATTCATGGTGCAGGGCATTCATGGTGCAGGGCATTCATGGTCCAGGACATTCATGGTGCAGGGCATTCCAGGCATTCTCCTGCAGAAGCAGGAGAGACACATTTATTTTCCTTGCAAGACTAAAGTTAGGAGAGTCTCCTTCACAAATAACAATACCATTTTTTTTGTATATATATATATATTTAAGTTCTGCTGCTTGTAGAAGCCAATCAAAGATATTTTCTGAGGAGCAGTAAGTTTTCTTCAGTGGCCTGAACATATGAGGCTATCTGAGCTCACAGCTTTGAAGATGCTCTTCATCAAAGAATAAGTTTTTAGGGAATACTTGAATGTCTGAGATTCAGACAACCCAGATGAATCCTTCATAGGTCATAGAGAGCCTGGGGTGTAAAACTTCCTTTAAGACTTAATCTGAACAGTGGAAAACTCTGTTGGGTCAATGTTTGCTTTTCTCCCTCTTCACATGGAAATGGCGAATTCCAAAGCTCAGTTTCCCTTCTTGCCCTGCCTGCTGCAGTGTGAGCACCTGCCACCTTCCTGCCACTTCTGGCTTCTCTGCTTCTCCACAGCTGCTTACTAATCCTTACTTTCCAACAATCCTTGCTTCTCTGTGCTGTATAATCTGCCAGGACTGTGGTATATCCACAGCAGGCAAGCACTTCGCTGGATTTCTCCTTCTCTTTACTGCAGTCTTCCTCTTCCTCTTGCATCCCTTCATCATTCTTTCCTTTGTGGGAAGATTATTTGCCTGCCATGTGCCTTGGGAGGGAGAAACACGTTTTGGTTGGCTTAAAGCTTGGTTGGTTAAAAGGCTGTGCTTCCAAACAAGTCGTCTTCACCTCGTCTCCCGTCATTTTCCAGGACAACCTGCGTAAAAAGGATGATCGGATCGAAGAATTGGAAGAGGCACTCAGAGAAAGTGTTCAGATAACTGCAGAGCGGGAAATGGTGCTAGCACAAGAGGAGTCAGCCAGGATCAATGCTGAGAAACAGGTCTGCAATCTTGTGAAGTCACTGCTAGCCCTCCTAGGAAAGTAACCAGACAGTAAAGTACTAATTTCCCTGCTTTTCTGCCTGAAACACAGCTGGCTTTCTTTGCTGATCCTGTGTGTCTGTCCCACCGTTAGGTAACAGAGCTCATAAAACCTGCAAAGCTTTCCTATTAAACTGTATTTCATAGATAAGATTTTCTTGAGATTAAAATCAAAATATAACCTATCCTGAGCTTTTGGGATGCTGGTGTGAGTAGTAACTCTCCTGCTCTGTCTTGCCTTTGAAATCTGCCTTCCTGTGTGTAAGGTTTACTTACATTTACTGTCTTGTTCACTGAAAGACAATGGTTTTTATTAGCCTGGTTGTGTTTATGGAGCACAATCTCTTTGCACTTGCAAAGCAGCTGGTTAAAAAGATAAATCCCTTGGCTGGAGCCAAGCATGCACACAGAAAATACACACTTGTGTACTGGAGCCAGCAGCAGAAGCTTTCAGGTGTTAATTGATTCTGTGCCACTGGTAAGTGAAGAATCACAGACATGCCTGATTTTAGCTCAGGTAAGTGATCATCCAGAAAGCACACCCTAAGGGATGGATAAATCCATGAGGCTTTGATAAAGCTTGTGAAGCTGAAAACTCTTACTTTTTGTGAGCCTCTTCAGTGTTTTTCACTGTTCCTCAGGACAGTAATTAGCAAACAGGACCATTTGGGTAATTGCATTTCAGTGGAAGAATCTCCTTGTCTTTGTTATTTATTTAACTACACCTCTGACCAAGTGCACTTTAAAACATTTTAAGAGTTTTTTTCTCATCATGCGTTCTTGTATCACAGGCTTTAGGAAAAAGAAGTAAAAATCCAAGTTTTCCTGAATTGTTTCTCTGTGAGCTGGAGTCAAGCTCAGCTGTTTGCTGATGGATGTGCTGAGGATAATTCTGGTTGCTGTATTTTAGCATCCTAGACAGTGTGATGGAACCCACTTTGAATGAATGTACAAACTTCCTGTAACCTCAAAAAATAGCATGAAATAGAAATGTTGACTGTTGAATGCCACTTCAAGGGTTAGATCTCCTTGAAAGGAAAACACACCTGACCAAGCATTGGGTTCTGTGATGAGGCACAAAAGTAATCTAAGTGGTATGTGATTTCATGCCTAGGTGTTAGAATGTTTTAATTCATTAGTTTCAAGACAAAGTGACCATTTTTATATCCTTTGAGCACCTAGAAGCTGGTGCTTCTCTTTGAGCACCTAGAACTCAGAGAATATAAAAAGTATATAACTATAAAAATGTATTATATATATAAATATAAAAAATAGGTTGTTGGAATTGGGTGTAATGAGGAAGGGAAATGCACAGCCAGAAGATCAATAAGCCATCAGGGTCAAGAGGGAGATTGAGAACAGAGGAAGAGAGCCAGGATGAGTAAGATTTGTGGGTAAAGATTGATGGAATATGGTAGGTAACAGCATAAAAAAGGACAATAATTTGGATGTAGCAGTGCACACAGAAGTGAGGAAGAGGAGGAAGGGGGATGGAATGAGAGCAGCAGTAGTGGAAGAAAAAAAAAGTTGACATCTATGACAGCAGGGGCTTACTGCAACAGAATTAAAGAGAATTAAACAGAATTAAAATTAAATAAAAATGAATTAAAGAATTAAAGCGCACCTCAGACCAGTTAATGGTTTTTAAAATGTGAGCAACAAATCTGCACAACAGGAAAGGATGTGCAGAGTCTTGTTCTAGACCTGCTGAGCCCCACTTTGGCCTCAGGATTTTGTTCTGCTGTCAGTTCAGTGCTGCCAGGTGTATTGAGAGTGGTGGCAAGGAGATGTTTTCCCAAGCTGCAGAGGAGACTTCGCTTCAAATGTTTTTCAGTGCACATTCCTTCAATTACTTTTAAAGAATGTCCTCTTTGTTTTATTATGGCCTGTGGAAGTTCTTTGTAGAATTTTGGAAGATAGACACAGGTAATACTAGAGTTTTAAAATGCAGGACTCCATGTACTGTCAATGGCAAAGCCACTGACTTTCACAAACCATAAAATAGGTTATGAATATTCTCAAACCAAGTGTGAGTGATGTGTGTGATTTTTAAAATGTTGTTGTTGTTCAAACTGATTGTAATTTGCTTTTAACTGCATGCTTTTTCTTTCCCTCTTTTGTTTATCTTGTTTTCTACCATTCTGCCACTTCACTGCCTGTCTGAAGCTTTTTAACGAATCAGTGCATGAGATCAACCATTTTGGCTTTAGGTGGTTCAAGGTATGAGGACATCTCACTTGTGTGTGCCTCTGCCCCGATACCTGGTGGTGTCAGTGTCACCTCGTGCTGTGTGGTCCCACCCTCCATCACCTCGTGGTGTGTGCTCTTGTGCTACTTTATAGGCTTCACATTTGAATTAGTGTCCACAGAGCCACCCTGGCTTTCATGGTGCTCATATATCCCTTCTAGATTAAAATTGTCCTCTGGTTAATGCAGTGTTTGGAAATATCCTGTCAGTGTGCATCAGCTGTGCCAGTGGGTTAATTGTGTTAACTTACAATTAACACAGATTCTGTTAACAATCTGTGGATGCAAGATGTCTCCTGCTCACCAAAGCTTTCTTTGTATTTCAGGATTTTAAACCTGCTCTTTCTTTCATCTTTCCCAAAACTAAAATTGGGCATTTCCTGCTGGGAGCATTGAATTTGGCATTATTGGTTTTATTATCCCTGCTGACCCTGCCATCCACAGGGCAGACGAGGCAGTCTTGCATAGATGGATGTTTCTTTTGAATAATACTGGTTTTGATGGTGCACCTGCTGAATTCTCTATGTAAAAATACCTAAATATGTATTCCTGTGGCTGGGCCCACCAGTTGAGCCCTCTGAAGGTGTGTGCAGACTGCTTTGTAAGTGCTCCCGTAAGGCTGCAGGTAGGATTTCTCAGATAAACACTTCTGTCATAAAGGGTTTTTTTATTAGAGATGGAAAATGGAGATTCAGGCACTCTTTCTGCATTAACCAAATCTGAGTTTATTTTAGAAAAGCTGTCATTATGTTCCTCAGGAGGGGAGGGAAATTCCATGGAAGTCTTTCCCTGCTCAGAAATCCAGCAGGAGTTTTGCTCCCTGAGAAAAAGTGTTGGAAGTTTTCTTTGACAAGAGGCCCCTGTCTTGTTCACTGTCCTGGTGCATCTCACCTTCCCTTCTCCTGCTTCCCTGGAAAGCTGCTTTGATCTCCATGGAAGAGTGGGACCCTTTTTGTGAAACCAAACACAAGTTCAGGTTCCTTATTGGAGGGCATAGTTCACAAATGTTTTCTGACCTAAAATACCTCCTGACAGCCGAGGAAGCATTGACCTGTGGGGGCTGGACTGAGAAGGGAAGGCAGGATTTACTGAATATTATTACCAAAAATATTTTTACCAGAAACTTATTGCAGCCTTTACAATGGGCTCCTATTTCTTTGAGTGAGATGGTGCATTGCCCGACCACAACATACATTTCTCTAGCTTGTTTTATTTCCTTCAGATTGGAAAAGCAGAAGATTTTAGAAATTTAAATAACATTCCTGCTGATAGCAGTGCAGCTCTGTTCTCTGGTGAATATCAACTCCTGCTTAAATGCACTCTCTGTATAGTATCAGCTAACATTTAACTCCTTACCCTAAAATGTAATGGCAAATAAACACATAAAAAAATGGCCATTACCTCATCATTCCCTCCTTCCTTCAGTAGCTACTTAAACTGAAATTTTGAAGTTGGCAGTCTGATCTTGACACTTTCCATCAATGTTTTTTGAAGTTTAAAGTTCTCAGCAGGACATTTTAAATGAGTTTAAATAGCTGTATCTTTGTTCATACACTGTGTCTTTTTATCCTGCACAGGGCAGATTTTTCTGCTTTCCTTTCCTAAGGAAAAAATAAAAGACTGAATATTGTAAAAGTAATGTATTCTTTAAATGTATTTTCTTACTCTCATTTCTTTCTCCTACTGTGGCTATAAATTATTTCAGCAGGTACACATTACATGTCAAATATATTGATAAAAAGACTCCTGAAATTCTCTATTCTGAATTCTTCTATTCTCTAATTCACATATGCCTACTTCCAAATTGGTATGTGTTTGTTAAGGAAGAGTAAAGATGAAATAGGTTTATAACTCAACCAGAACCTCCTTCCCAGTTCTCTCCTGTTTCTCTGCTGTAAATACAAGCTCTGCAAGGGTTTGGATGTAGAGCAGAGCCTCCAAGAGCTTTCTGTCTCACCTGTGAGTTACTGTGCAGGAATTCTCACCAGGTTTTGAATGGTACCTGCCATTTGCACTTCCATCAGAACACCACTCTGGTTTTAACTCCTTAGAAAATACAGTTTAGACTACAAAGAATGGTCTAGAAACTACATCTACAACAGATTTATCATATATTGAATGCTGTCCTATCAAGTACCTTCTAAAAATTCAAAACAAATTTAAACACATCTTTTTTTTTGATGAGCATTCTGTTACTGAAATCCATCTGAAATATTTTCTCACATATGTTGGGAAATAATTGGAATTATTTCACAGCACAAATTCTGACACACAAAGTTACTTCCAGCAGGTCCCTGTAAATGAAAAACAAAAAGTGGAATTTCTCAGGAACCATTTACCTATAGATGTTTTCTGAGCACCACAGAAATGTCAGAGTTCTGATTGCTCTGTAATACATGCTGGACAGTTTGCTTTTAATGAATGTTTTTGTCTCCTGTATCTCCTAATGAGAAATTTGATAAATTAAGAGGCTGGAGATCGAGGCAGCAATCCAAGGTATGGCTTGGGGGTGAAGGTGCTGGAGGTTTTTTCAAAGATTCTTTTAGGGAGTTTACATTTTTTTGGCTGAACTTCTCTTGAATATCTTCTGAAAAGCTCTTTTCTGTAAAAGTCTGCCAAAATCATTTTGGCTTTTGAGTGTGTGTATATATGTACATGTGCAAAGTAATTTGAGTACTTAGTTCATATAAAGTGAAATTCTGTGCTAAAAATT